GTATCTTCATATAAGCTACTCACAGACTAAGTTTTGTGTCAAAAGGTCAAAGCAAACTGAAGTTATTGACCGTAAACTTAATTTATAATTTAAGCAAAAGTGACTTTGCCCTTAATCAAACAGATCTGGGAAGCAATCCCAAGCTCCCTGTTGATATAAGCAACCCATACACCAAGTTTGGTGTTAAAAGGCCTAAGCAAACTAAAGTTGAGCGAAAACTGAATTTCAATTTTTTAGCAAAATTAACTTTGACATTGATCACAGACACCTGGGTAGCAATCCCAAGCTGTGTCTTGATATAATAAGCTACACATACATCAAATTTTGTGTCAATAGGCCTAGGCAAACTAAAGTTATTGAGCGGAAACTGAATTTCTATTTTTTTTTAACAGTGACCTTGACCTTGATCACAGACACCTGTGTAGCGATTCAAAGCTGCGTCTTGATATAAGCTACCTATACACCAAGTTTGGTGTCAATAGGCCTAAGCAAACTAAATTTATTGAGCGGAAACTGAATTTCTATTTTTTTTTTACAGTGACCTTGACCTTGATCACAGACACTTGGGTAGCAATCCCAAGCTGCATCTTGATATAAGCTACTTATACACCAAAAGGCCACAGCAAACTCAAGTTATTGAGCGGAAACCAAAGTTACGCCCGCCCGCCTGCCGACTTCGGCATTACAATAACAATGTTTTCTTTAAAAGTATCAAATGTTAATTTATGTTCTGGGTTATTATTATTATTATTATTATTATTATTATTATTATTATTATTATTATTATTATATCCAGAACAATATATTCACATTATTCGCTATACCCAAGAATTCTACTGTGTTTGTCCTATAAAAATTGTATGTGAGTACATGTTGAGAGGATTAGAAAACTGCCGATTCAGAATTTCTAATTTTGATATAAATGAAGAAACTAGATTAGTTATATTAAATCTTGATTTTTGTTGATAATGGTACGTATTTCATATGTATTTAAGGACATACAAAATCCAAACCCAGATCAAACTAGTGTCATATGAGCTAAAAACTCGAATATTTCTAACCTCTGGTTGATTTGTCCATTTTGTTTTGACTTACGTTCTCTGTGTATTTGATATAAGTTGCTAGTATTCTGAAAAGCAGTTTCATTTAATGAACAATTAATTATAGTATAGTTACATGCTTATGGCTAAAGCATTCGAAAATGGATACAAGGATGGACAGTTCTGACTAGGGAAGAAGTCTTTTTTTGTTGGGTCCGGCTGGGCTCCTTGCCACAGGTTCTTGTTGCTGGTTCGTATTGGGGTTGCGTTTATTGAACGCCGCCTTTCCTTGTTGATCTTGTTTATCATATATCATATTCCCTGTTCTGCTAAATGATATATGCAACTAGAAATGTGTCGTCACGCTTAAACGGAAACTGAAAATTTCATATTATTTTCAAAGTGAAAAGGACATATTTCTGCCAAAAATCATCAAAGCATGACCAAATTAAAACTTGACCTGCGCATTTCTTTAACGTATCCATATGTCAAATTTGAGTTGAATGTGTAATACTGTTGGGGAGGTAACGAACGTAAACAGAAAACTTTATATTATTTTCAAAGTGAAAGGGCAAAACTCTGCCAAAAATCATTGTATCATGACCAAATTCCAACTTGACCTGCGCATTCCTTTGACATATCCATATGTCAAGTTTGAGTTGAATGTGTAATACCGTAGGTGAGACAATGAATGGAAACTGAAACTTTCATATTTTTTTTTCAAAGTAAAAGGGGCATAACTCTGCCAAAAGTCATTGAACCATGACCAAATTCAAATTTGACCTATATTTTCTCATAACATATCCATATGTCGAGTTTGAGTTGTATGTGTAATACCGTTGGGGAGATAATTAACGGAAATTGAAATTTTTATATTATTTTCAAAGTAAAAGGGGAATTACTCTGCCAAAAATCATCAAACCATGACCAAATTCGAGCTTGTCCTGTATTTCCTCCTGACATATCCATATGTCAAGTTTGAGTTGAATGTGTAATACCGTTGGGGAGATAATGAACGCAAACTGAAAATTTCATATTATTTTCAAAGTAAAAGGGGCATAACTCTACCAAAAATCATTAAACCATGACCAAATTCGAAACCTTATTTTTCTTATTGATATGACATATCCATATGTCAGATTTGAGGTGAATGTGTGCAACCGTTACTTAGATAATGAGAGGAAACTAATGATGACGGAATGACAGAACGACGGAGCAGGGTAACACTATATGCCCCAGCCATTATATGGCGGAGGCATAATTACCTCTTTCGAATGATTATGTTTTCTTTTCTGTGAAATAGTTGTTGCGTGTGAACAAAAAGCTAAATTCAAGACAAAGTTTCATACTGAAGATTGTTGAATGTGTGTGGCATGCCCTATTTAATGAAGGAAACATGAAGGTGCACATATACATTGTATATGTGTGCCCTAATTGTGGAAAACTTGCCCGAGTGTAATGTTTAGTCCGTATCTATGTCAACAACGTAATATAATATTTAGCAGCACAGGACAGTTTCACCAGGACATTCCACTAGTCAGCCATACATTATGATTTTATAAGAAGAAATTTTATAAAACATTAACGCCAACATGCGGTTTTACATTTATTTCATTATTCTACAATTGTAAATTGTTGTAAATTGTTACTGAATTTAACATTATAAAAACTCAAATTACAATGTATACGAAAAACAAATTGCATTTGTAGCATCACGACATGGTACATTCGAACTGCAAACTATCTAAATGATGTACACAATCTCCCTTGTATTCAATAGAGAGAAATAAAGAATCCCTAAAAAAAGCTCATCAAGACAAAATTGAAAATGTTGCAGACTCGGTTTGATTGAGCCTGTTCATGGACGGTAATGGAAAGTGCAAGTTACCGTCCACGCCCCGTAGCACCGGCTTAAACAGAATACAACATTAAATTTTGGTAATGGTGGAATTTTGAATTTGAAAACATCGCCAGATGTATTCATATGGCGGTTTCAAGTTCACTATTATTTGAAATGTTTTTTTTTCCCTCTTTTTTAAATAAATTTTCAAAAAGTTCTTTCTTTTGACGACTTAAATAGCACGCCCCTGGTTTGTCTTAAAACTCACAAAGACAATATCTGACTTTCTTTTAAAAAAAACTTATCACAAACATCTGAGATCAAAGGGGAGATAATTCATTAAGGAAGGTGACAGAATCAAGTGAGTATTTACAAGTATAAGCAAGGTTAATGCCATCAGCGAAACACCGACAAACTTTAGCCCCTTTTCAAAGTCAGTAAAAGAAATTAGTAGATATCAACAACTTCAAATTTTTTGAACCTTGTGTAGCGTACATTAATCATATTGAACAAAACCCATTGTAAACATTAAAAATTGGACAGTAAGACGACCTTATATATCTTTTGTTATGCAACTCAATAATGATTATGTACGTAAGTTTGTTAGTAGAAATAGCAACTTACTTTCACGATATTGGATTTTGATCTTGTGACTAATTCACCGACACAAAATCAGTAACTGGCAATAAAACGAAACATCTTGATTTTGAATGTGAAGGTCAGAGCCCCACAAGATCAACACAAAATTTGTAATTTTTGATAGTAAATGAATCTAAATGTTTTAACAATAATACTCTTTTATGTGGTAACATTCTAAAATACGCCTTTACTTCGTATCGCACCATTTCACCTCGCTTAAAAATGTATCGAGTCTTTATATGTCCGACTCCGTGCAATACTAATAAAAAAAGATGTGCATAAATTCTGTTGTGTTTAAATTACAACAAATGGTACATAATAGCAATCACTATAATATCATTTGAAAAAGAGAAGTTAAAATGTAATTACAAAAATCAAATACTGACAAAAAAGAGAGAAATAGAATCCCTTAAGAAATTCAATAATAGCAAAATGGAAAATGTTACAGGCTTGGTTTGATTAAGTCTGCTCATGCACGGTAGTAGTAAATGCAAGCTACTGTCCACGCTTCCTAGCACCGGCTTTTAAGCAGAATTCAACATTTAAACGTGGTATTTATGAACTATTTAATTTAGAAACATCCACAAATATGTTCATAAATCTTGATTTTAAAAAGGATTAATAAAGAAAGAGGCCAATGTTGTTTGACAATAATCGGAGGGTTAAATTGGATGACAGATATTTGTTTCTATTGGCAGCTGTCCTTTTCTTAGAAAGGGTGACAATCAAAATTAGCGGCGATGTCTAGGTTTATACCACGTTTTTCCGGCATAGTTACTCGTTATGTGAGTGAGGCCCTCAAATCAATAATTTCAATATAAAAAGAGCGCATGACTCTTTTTCAAACAGGCCAAATGGTCAATTCTTTGTTTGTTTACTGGCCCTGTATACGAGTATATTGCGCTATAACAAGATCGCGTGACTATGTTAACACATGGTTTAGGTCCCGTTATAACATGGACAAAAGAGGAAAAAAGGCCGATTTCATGTTATAATACAAAGTATTACACAACATTCAAATTTTCATCTTAAACAATTTCACAAATAGATAAATATATACACACCAGGCTTCTTAATAGAAGAAATCTAATTTAAATCAATATTTGAATCTAAGATATAATTTATCAAGTATTTCTATGGAGAAATAACTGAAAGGAAACTAATATTATAGGTGTTTTTACTTTGAGAGTCAAACAAGGAGTGGTCTGAGTTGCTAAGAAATGTTACATTCCAGAACCAAAGCAGATAAAAATGTCTTGCATACCAAACTCAATCATCCATCACTTAACTTGCAAAACCAGTTCAATCACCCATAACAAAGAACAAAAGACAAACATGAACACATAACACCACAAAATATTTGGTCTGGCCTTGAGAGGGAAATTACTGTATTTATTAAAAAAAGAGAACTCAAGACTATTTCAACCTTATTTACAATTGTGTTTAACAAATTATTAAAAAAAAATTTTTTTAACTTTCAGAAAACATCCGTTGCCTTCAGGATCTGGCAATTATCAACATATATTGAAAGGCGTACAGATAGAAAACAAATGTAAGGATACGTTTTTAGTAGAACAAATTAAGAAATTATTCAGAGGATGTCTGATATGAATTTAACTTTGTATATAAAATCATTTGTTCGTAATCACAATGATAAATATAAATGTTAAAAATAATTTCTGTTAAATAATTTCACTGTGATACATTTTTGTTGTTGGTACAATTTTAAAATCAGCGAAGAACTGTTTAATATCCTATGTATTCACCCTAATTTGTGTGCATAAACGTAGTCGTGTTTGTATTTCACTGTACTGTACATAAATTATGACAATATTAATTGTTATCAAATAATAATGCTTTTGAAAGTTGAAAATAAAATATGTACAGCATACTTTAGTTTGAATGATTCATAGAAAATTATATGATATTGGAATTTTGTTTTTGTTTCTTAGGTGGCCCGCCCCGGGAAATAGGTAAGGTACAACTTCAACAGACCTCTTTCATTACCTTTCTTACAGTCAGAAAACCAAAATTTAAAAGAAAAATGTATTAAGATTAATGTATATATTATACCACATCGTGTCAAAATTATAATTTAAACACAATCTAACCGCTGTGAACGATAGGTTATGAAAAATCAGTGGCTCAACTTATGTGCCTGCTCGAGGCTGAATTAATGCATTGTGAGGCATCTGCCGTCTTTCTCAACCTAAAAAGCTAGACAGTTATCATATGAACTTTACAATGTCGGCGTGACTTAAAACTAAAACCGAATAATATTATTTAAAAACATGTTCTGTTAAATGGTGTAATTTTCATATTTGAGTCAAATCATGAGTTTCTAGTTTCTTATGTTTCATCAATTTGTTATATACTAAACTGGCTGTAAGTGTCTAACATAAAACGCAGCAACAGTTATTAAAATCGATTTATAAATGGCAACATATATAGAACCCTTGAAATACAAATACTTCCTCTATTTTCTGACATATTCCATTATAACTATTTTGATAGTTGATTCGATATATTAGTAGCGTTACTATATATTTTGCAAATCATTGCAGGCCACATTAAAAAAAGCAAGTTTGGACTAAAGCATTAATCATTTATATAGCAAGTTATTCATAACATTGTTACTGCGGATAATCCTATGACCAAAATCGTACAATGGTCTCATAAAATGGCGACTTAAACGATCGGTAAAAGCAGTGAAATTTAGGTAAGCATACAGTTAACGTTAAATTTATATGTTAAACTAGGCCGCACGGAACCCCTGTATAAAAACCACGTACTGTTCTGTTATTGGTTACTTTGTAGCTCTCTCTGTATAGGCCTGAAATTCGAAAAGGTTGTTTTGGGTGATGAGTACAATGGCCGAACAGGTACTAAAATCCGTTGTTTTCAGTAAAAGAAATGCATTTTGAGCATTATTAGCAATGAAATCTTGTGCACAATTCCAAGTTTGCCTGTCAAGAACAACTTTTTCGACTTTCAGGCCTAAACAAAGAGAGCTGCAAAGTAACCAATAACAGAACAGTACGTGTTTTTATACAGAGGATCCGTGCGGCCTAGTTGTACATATAAATTTAACGTTAACTGTATGCTTACCTCAATTTCACTGCTTTTAACGAGCGTTTAAGCCGCCGTTTTATGAGCCCATTGTACGATTTTGGTCACGTGATCATCCGCAGTGATTGTGTCTTAGTTGGATTACACAGTAAATCGTTGAGATGTCATTCTGATTATATATACTCTGCAAATCACTTTAAATTTCTGAATTTAAATTGTTTATTTTTTATATTTTTTGATTAATTAATTATATATTTTTGTTCCCGATGTTTTGATTCATAAATTGATTATACTATACTTGTTGTAGCATACCAGAAAATGAAAACTATATAAAGCAGAATGAATTATACATAAAGGCACAATAAATAAAACACTAGAAAATAAAAGTGGCTGTCGTAAATAAAAAATTATAAATAGAACAGTTTGGTTTTAGTTGTATATAAGTTTATGTAAGTCTTTTTATCATATGATGTATACTAGTATAAGTTAACAATCCAAATACTGCAAATATAGATTGAACATCATTATACACTTAATAAATGGAATAGTCAGGTATAAACTAAAATATATTATGCATTTTGATAGTTCGGGAAATGTTGAGAGATATATCAGAGAACAACGAGTTGTCCAGAGGTAAGCGATAAATAGTTCAGTTTCTGACATGTTAGGTATTTCTTTTATGTAATTGTTTCGGGTGGATCTCTCATTGATGAATAGAAATTATATTTGATAATTTCACAGATAACATAATAAATATATGATATTACACTTTCAAATGATAAGATTACTCTTTAAAAACATCTCAGAGTTATCTCACATTTATTTTTACTTACTGCCTGTTTTTTATTTTTCAATTTCAACACATGGGAACTGTTCAATCCATCCTTCGATATTTTGCCCGAAATTTGGAAAGTTTGTTTTATCTTTGGTAGCAACGAATGATTTAAATAGTGTTGGTGCAAATGTATATAAGTATAAAAATCTGGAAACAAAGTCATCCCTCGGAAGCATTAAGACGCGTCTTTATTGTTATATATTTTTATAATATATACAGATACGAAATAGAATAAACAAAAACGGGCTTTAAATATTTCATCAATTTAAAGTGATGTAAAAAACTAGCGTATACAAGTGGATTTATTATTTGTTAGGTAAGTTTAATTTCCCTTGTATTTTTATAGTTCCGGCAATGGTTATTTCAGCGAACAGAGAACAGTTGAAAGGTAGGTTATAAATATCTTATTTTTGATATGTAAGGTAACTATTCTAATAGTTGATTTATTTTTGTAGCTGTCACTGATAAACAGCAAATGAATGAAATAGTGTTGTTTCAGATTCATAAAAAATGTTATATTTGTCATTATAAAATATTTAAACTGATCATAAATAAAATAAACTTTTCAATCTTAACAATAACGTCCCAATATCCACAATTTTGGTTTGGTGGTATTAAAATTTTGATCATATTTTAGAATTAAAAAAAGAAAAAAGAAAACATGTTATGAGTTTATTGCTTGTTTAAGTTCATGATGTCTTTGTTTATAGTTTTCACCGCGAGCAGAGACCAGTCTATGGGTAAGCTATAAATATCTTATGTTTGCCTATAGATACTAAATTCAATAGTAAAAAAGTTAATCTCTCATCAAACGGTCTGTATTTTTCAAATAAAGAAATAATTGTTAATTTTATTGCTTCCACGTGATAACCCAAATTTCACATTTTTATGCTTAACAGCAGGTGTAAATTGTCGAATGGCAGCTGTAAAAATTGTTTAATTTCTCCGGGTATGTTACTATTAAATATTCAATTCCGCCTTAGCTGGGGCTAGCTAGGGGCGTGAGAGATGTTGCACTATGACATTATCTTTCATGTACAGACTGAATCAATCTTAGTCTGGAATTTTCAGTCAGTATTGTTGTTTTTATCGCTACCGAGGCTCTCTCCCCTTTTCCAGATTTCATTTTTAATTTGTTATTTTGAATCCTGAGAACGCATCACTAATTGGACAACATCTTAAAAGGGTAAAGCATGAAGGAAACTAACAAAGAAAATGATATACATTTAAATAAAACTGTACCAAATGATAAAATATTGACTGAGATCATGATTTGCTTTAGTTTTTAATTTCATCCGAGCATGGTATTGTGATCGGCTTTTCTCCGTTGTTCGACGTCTGTTAACGGTTTACCCGTTACCAATTATCGTAAGGCTACATGGAAGTTTTCAGTGATGATCCTCTGCAAATATGTTTGACATTGGATCCCGCAAGTTGATAAAAAACAAGATTGAATATTTTCTGATATCTTAAACATTTTATTGAAAATAAATTTTAAATTTCACAATAAATGCGTGTTAGATTGTCCTTTACAAAAACGGCTGAGGTAATCCACATGATGTACATGATCGCAGTCTAAGCGGGACAAGAAAATAAGCTGAAAAATAACATCTCCCTATTACCAATCGGTATATTCCCATGACAGTACGCATAAATAACCAGCGAATGGTCTTCTTAAACGATTGTTTAAAACATAACTGGTCTCCAAACAAAAATAGAGTTTAGTTTCCAATATAAGTACTTTTGCAAAACAGTTTTATTTGTGAAATGTTGAAACAATCGTCTGTATATAATAACGACTTACAGTGTCTGCACTAAACGAGAAAACAGTGGGCGATTCTAAGTGAATTTGTTCGGGCACCTGTCAGAATCTCAGTAACCATTAATTAGCTTTTTTGCACATTTTTCAGCTCGCATTCTCAAGCTTTAAGTATAGGACCACCTATGCAAGGATCAAATTTTCAACAATTCGGTCCAGGTATGACTATTCAACGTTTGCTTTTTAGCTTTATAAATTTGTTCAAGACCTTGAATGAGAATCTAATCTAAGCCAATTATTTTTTGCAACAGATCTTCTAATATTATAACCATGTAGATCTTAAATCAATTCTTTACAAAAAATATAAATAATTTTGAAATAGGTTTTAGTACTATATTAAATTTGTAGCAAAAGCCAATTACCCATCTATATAATATATTATCCATTGGTATAAAGAACATGTTGGTAGAACATGTTGGTTTTTGCATTTATGAATTTTATTGAAATAGACAATATGTTATTATTATTATTATTATTATTGTTAGTATTATTATTACTATAATCATTATTATTATTTAATTATTATTATTTTTATTTTTATCATTATTATTATGATAATTATTATTATTATTATTATTATTATTATTATTATATTTACAGCCCCTACAGACCAAAGGGTTCGTAGTATCATTGATTTATTACTGTTTCTTCTGTGTAAATCTATAAAAATTAATATATTTTTTCTAACTATTGCTTTTGATTTTAATACATTGTAATAGGATAAGAAACTGACAGACAAATTTATGGATGAGTCTCTTTAAGATGTCATTTTGTGTCATGATTAACATGAGTAGTTAAGCAGACCGTTTTATTTTACAATTATTTTTCATCGGTGTGAACATTTTGAAAAGGAAAGATATATTGAAAGCTTGCAAAGTAAATGCAATGTACGGTATATGATTTATTGAACATTCAAAACTTGTAGGACACAGTGTATGTAGACATACTAGGGTATGATAAACTTAAATTGAAAGTAACCATATCCTTTCAATGAATATAAAAGTACATTCAAAGTAACAAACAAACAATTTATGCAAATTTATTTGATCAATATGCTAATACATAATGTCAAAGTACGTGTCATGCATATCTCTGAAATTATAATGTTGGTTACCAAACCTAAAAAGGTTTTCATATTTGCTTATCTATCAGTAATTTACAGTAAATTCAAAGCTGTGTAATTTCAGGGTCGGTATGACTTCAACACTATTGGAAACCCTGGACCTGTTACACCTATAGGACACTGTGTAAGTACACCAATTGCAATATGTGTTTCAAGATATATATACCTTGGAAGAAGTCATGACAATAATATTCTAAAATCCAATTAGTGATTTTGCGTTTTTATGATTGGAATAGTGATAAAATTATTATGAACTTGATTTGTCGTACTTTGTTCATAAGCTATAAGTATTAAATACAGTTTTAGCTATTTCAAGGCTTTGTTTTTAAAATACTGATCGCTAAATTTATAGAGAATGTGCATATGTATACTGAATTCAAGAAAGTATATGTAAATTTAAGGCCTGTGTAGAATAATAAAAAGTTTGTTTGGTCACCTCTGTTCAGTAAAACGATGCCTAGTACTCGTATTGAAATCCTGGTCGTGTAACATATGGAGAACAAAGTTTGTATACACAAATTGTATTAGATGTAGCAAAATGCATGCTGTGTACTTTGATATTGCTTTGCGTAAGCATCATTTATCATTAAGCGTTATTGCAAAAGATTTAAATATAGGCTAAGGAAGACCAATTTGAAGCATTTTCTGTTCTTCTTAGTTTATAAAGAAAGCAATGCTGTGATATTTCAGGATCAATACAGCTCAACCCCGTTGCAACATTTTGACGCTTTAACACTTGGAGGACCCAGTGTATGTATACATATCGAACTATCTTGCCTATTATATTTACGATAAAAGTAGTAGCTTTAAATTTTCAGCGAATATACATGAACATTCAAAAAGTAATTTACAATTAATTCAACATTAGATTTAGTAAAGAGATTCTGAAATTATGCGAAGTTATGTGTTATGCCTCAATCTGTAAATATGATATTCTGGTTAGACAAACCAAAATCTTGTTCTGTTTTCCAGTTTTGTAAGCAATCAACTGCATTTTATTTATGGCTTCCTTTCATTCCTGGAGGATACAGTGTTTGTGTCTATATTTATTGCAGTGCATGTAGCAAAATACATATTCAAAAAATAGTCCTGTCTGTAAATAAAAATGAAAAGTGAAATATACAATGTACATAATTACTCTTTTGAAATTGTCTGTGATGCTATAATCCGTCAATACAATTTTAGGTTAGAAAAAATTTAAGCTTTTTCTATGTTTCTCTGTAAATAATCAAAAATAGTAAATAGCGATACTGGATAATTTCAGGATCCGTATGGAAGCCGTTCCACACCAAGAGGAAATTATGTATGTATAGGTTTTGTATTGCATGTAGTATCGACAGATTTCATGTATTTTCAATTCATATGTACGCCGTTTCAGAAAGTAATATGATATGTATGAATCTGTCATTCCTCTGTGAAAACATTATTTAAAATTTTTTGACATGCTAAAAACTGTGAACAAAATGTTAGATTAAACCAATTAAATGTTTGTATTTGTCGTAATCTGTTAATCAGTAATCACCAGTAATGTTTGGATATTATAGGGCTCTGCTGGACCAAGCACTTATGGAAACCCCGGTCAAATAACCTATGGACAATGCAATGTATGTACATATGTTATTTCTTGAATTAAAATATTTCTACTTTAGTACATAATTTTTTTAAAAATTAAGGTTCGATTAGTTAAGGTTCTATCAATCAAAAGCTTGTTCTCTTCTGCAAGAAATAAGCAAGACATGCAAAAGTGGATGGATCGGGAAGCGTATGACGTCAGTACTAAAGTTGTCAGGAAATTATGACTATTATTTCACCAGGGGAACACAGTGTATTTATGTTTCCGTATTTATTTCAGGACCAGTCAGGCTTAAATCCTTTTGGAAACATTAGAAGCAATCCTGGCATCTTCACACCCCGAGGAAACAGTGTATGTATTCATACTGCACAACATATGGCATGATATATCCATTCCAACAGTAGTAACGTTTCTATATTTAATTTTAACGAAATAAAGACGTATGAAATATGAACGCCGGTGTAACATCAAATTTTGACCCCGTAGATCAATGACGCATGCGTTGAGAATTAACTCTTGGCCATTTTCAACATAGAGAAATGACCCTGCCAACATTTCAACATTTAAATTTGATGTAAAGACGATGAGACCTGATGAGTCGTTAAAATTTGATAAAAATGGGACCAATTTTTACGATTGGTTAAATTCCAGTTAAACGTTAGATACCGTTAATTTGTGATATAGCACTCGGACTAATCAGAAATCTTTTAAATCACTTCATAATGCCAAGTTCAGACTCAAACTGACAATTCCTCCGAGATAGGCAACATCATATTTATGTTTGGCAGGAAAATGTTTACTTAATTTAAAGATCCCTTATCACTCATCGTTTATTTCTTGAAATACAGTACAGTAAAATAAAACTAACTTTGATTACCATTTCTGTTGTCTATTGCAAAGATTCAACGGGATATCTTTGTTTTTAAAAAAAAAAGGCATGCCTTCATTACAACAAAAAAGCTATGAATATTCGACGAATTTAAAAGCATACATTTTAGGTCTGTCGTCTATATCATATTAAAATTAACGTGTTTTTACCACACTTAAATTTTTTTTATTTTAATCTATCTTTTTTTATTAATGTTGCGGGTACATTTTGTTTTTTAAACAAACAGGGGCGATTTCAAATCCGGGAAGGAAAAAAACCTTTCAAGCTTTGCCAAGTTTTGCTAGGGGCACAGATGTAGGATACTCGTTTTGGGTGCAAGTAATTTTTCTGGTTCGATAATCTGACGAATCTTTTTTTTTTAATACCCACAAATCGTTTATAATGCAAAACTAAACTTTAAAATTTTAAAATTAAACTTAAAATTTAGTCAAATTTTATTTTTTGCTTCATACTGCTTAACCGCTTTCGAAAGTGATCTTATACGGCGGGAAGAAAACCCAAAACTATGTTTCTCGCAAATAACAACAAACTATTTTTGCATAAACCCGGTTGGAGGAGGCCGTGGAAACGGGTATAAGTGTTTTAGAAAAAAAAAAGGGTACACGGGATTGTAGCACGTGTATTAAAAAATAGCTGCTGAAATGACAGCCCTGCCGTTTTGAAGCGACTTTTCCGGCTTTTATAATTTAAACTATTTTAAAGTCTTTTAAAATAACAATGGAAAAAAGATGTAAGTTTTAATGTTTTATTGAATATTTCAAAATAAAAAAGTATTCTAAAAAGTATACTGCAAGCATATCAATGGTGTTTCCCATGTAAGCACAGTATAGCGATGCTATGAAAATTACGTCACGCCAAATTTGTTTTTAATTATTCTGAATAAACTTTTGGGGACTGGGGTTTTTAGTTATCGTCTTGACATTTTTAAAATCTTTCAAATTTATGTGCCAATGGGGTCATTAATATACAAGGCCAATTTTTAGACAAAAAGCAGACAAGCTTAAAAATGACTATTTCAGTCGTATTAAATGGCAGATTTGATTTCCAAAATAAAAGCGATTTATAAATTATAAAATACAACAGATATATATTTTTTAGCTGGTGTCTATGCTGTCGCCTAGGTCAATATTATTTTTAGTACATATCACATCCTATTCACCAGCTGAAAAGTCCTTTTTTTTTTCTTTACCACATAACAAAGCTCTTAGTCTTATACTTTCAGACAAGAATATTTTTAAATTACATTTCTAAAGCATCATTTTGGGCCCTGTGTCCAATTTAGACCAACTGACCTGAACCATTTGAACAGTTTTGATAGGGTACCCCAAAATGTTCATTTCCGTGTAGTTTGGTAAAAACATGCAGTGATAGGTTATAGGGAAGATGTTTTTAAGAATCATGACGGACGAAGATGGAAGCCGGACAGAGGGGGTCATACTTGTTTTACAATAGGAACCTTGTGCCCAATTAAGCTAAAAGGGAAGACACGTTGATAATTTTTGGTCAACCTATTTTTATGTTATACCATTGTTTTTTTACTGCCTTTACATGTATGTATATGTTTCTAATTTGGCAATAAGATATGTTTAAATGAAAAGGTTTACAAGGTAAATTATAGTTAACTATTTTCGTAAGCAACATAAATGTCTGTGTTGCATGACAAATGATAAGAATAACTAGACTTTTTACAAATGCTGATCATTATAAACTGAAAAGAAATATAAAATTTAAAATTGCATGCATAGACTTATTGTGCAAAATTTATGGGTTAACATTTCAA